TTTGTTCTTGGAAACGACCTAGCAGGATCAAAGGTGGGAGCGAAGCCCCTTTAGCGGAGAAGCCGAAGGAAAACCAGGGAACTGAAGAGTTAAAAGAAAAATACCCTGGAATTTTTCCGGACTCTGTGTTAACAAGATCCCACAGCCGTAAGTTACAGCAAAAAGGAAAAACCAAAGAGAGAGTTGAAGAAGTTGAGGTCCAATTAGCTGACACCCTGTTTGATGAAATGATAAAGGAAAAACCTGAACAGGTAGAGGATCAGGCAGAGGCGTTTAGTTCTGAATAATTACTGGAATTACAACAAAAATTTGAGACAATAAAAAGTTTATATCATAAAGCTTACCCGGAAAAGGAATCAGAATGTATTCCCAAATGTTATTACCTTAAGGATGGAATTCTAAGGCGAAAATGGAGACTGTGGTAGGTTAGTGCAGAGGAGAAATGGGCGGAAATGCATCAGATTGTGTGGCTTGTAGTATACGGGTAGGAAGTATTGCAGGTAGTACATGAATTACCTGAAGGAGGTCATCTAGGGGCGAGGAAGACACAGGCTAAGATAAAAAAAATTTCTATTGGCCTGGATTACATAAAGATGTGGTTGAATTTTGCCATACCTATCATATGTGTCAAGTACTAGGAAAGCCACAGGCAATGATAAAACCAGCAATTCGATGCCAATTCCCACATTTGAAGAACCTTTCACGCGGTTTATGATTGATTGTGTAGGTGCTTTCCCTAAAACCAAAAGTAGGAACCGGTATATGAACCATAAAGTATGTGTCTACCAGTTTTCCAGAGGCAAATCCATTATGGATTGTTAAGGCAAAAAAGGGTTGTGGAGGAGTTGCTTGCGTTCTTTACCCATTATGGCTTACTCGGAGAGATTCAGTCAGACTAAGAGTCTAATTTTACTGCCAAACTATTTAAGGTGGTCATGGATGGTTTAGGCATCCAACACTTTAAATCAAGTGTGTACTGTACAGGTGGCATCAGACCCTAAAGACCATGCTGACGGCTTATTGCTAGGATTACCCAAATGATTGGGATAAAGGTATCCCATTTATATTGTTTGCCATTAGAGATGCCCCAAATGAATTGACTCAGTTTACTCTATTTGAATTGATATTCGGACACGAAATAAGGAGGACTTTAAAATTAATTAAGGAAACATCGATACATCTGAAGTTAGAGATCTCACAGTTGGATTATGTATCTGAGGTGACAGAAAGATTGAACAGAGTCGATGAATTACCTTGACAACATCTGAAGGTGGCACAGCATCTAATGAAGCAAGGAGCAGATAAGAAATCTAAAATTTGTACATTTGCCCATGGGGCTAAAGTATCGGTGCTGTTACCAGTGGTAGGAGACCCCTTCAAAGGAAGTTTTTGTGGGCCCTATCAGATTGAGGAGAAGTTGAGTTGGGTGCAATATCTGGTAAAGATGCCAGATAGGAAAGAACTTTATCAGGTAGGTCATGTGAATATGCTGAAACCTTACTATGGCAGAGACAGGGAATCAGAGAAACAGGTATTATTACTGCCCCTCAGAGTGAGGAACCAAATCGAAATGATTTGGATTTTGATGTGCCTCAAAATAAGTCAAATAATGAGTAAGTCCTTGGAGAATGTTTTAGGATAGTGAGCTATCTGTCTCAGGAACAGAGAACTGAATTGCAAGTGTTGGTGCAGCAATATGAAGACATATGTAGGAACAGAATGGGGAGCACTAATATTATAGTACATGACATTGAAGTACAGAATGCTGTTCTGTTAAAACAACACTTCTATTGGCTTAATCTTCTCAAAGCTGTGCAGGTACAGAAGGAAGTGTATGCAGTTTTGGTTACCACACTATCAGAAGGACGTGAAAGCTTTGGAGAGAGTGAAGAGAAGGTTCACCAGGATGTTGCCCGGTCTTGAGGGCACTGGCTATGAGGAAAGGATAAAAAGACTAGGATTGTTTTCACTAGGAAGACAATGGCTGAGAGGAGCCCTAATAGAGGTCTACAAAATTATGAAAGGCATAGATAGGGTGGATACTCAGAGGCTTTCTCCAGGGTCATAGTTTCAATTACAAGGTGTCACAGGTTCAAGGTGAGAGGGGGAAAGTTTAAGGGAGATGTGCGAGGGAAGTTTGTCATGCAGAGAGTGGCAGGACAATGGAACATACTGCCAGAAGGGGTAGTGGGTGCAGGCATGTTGGCAATATTTAAGAGGCATCTGGATGGTGACAAGAATAGGGAGGGAATAGAGGGATACTGACCAAATAAGGGCAGAAAGTTTGTTTTTTAGTTTAGTCACAGCATGTTGATTAGCACAGGCTTGGAGGGCCAAAGGGCTTGTTCCTGTGCTGTACTTCTCTTTTGTTCTTTTGAAGTGGAAGCGATGTTCCAAGAATACATTATCGAGCCAACTTAGCTTTTCTGATGAAGGGTCTAGGCCCGAAACGTCAGCCTCTCTGCTCCTATGATGCTGCTTGGCCTGCTGTGTTCATCCAGCCCTGCACCTTGTTGTCTTGAAAGTGATTGAAGTTCGCTGATCATGTTGGTTCCCAAACCTGATGGTACTCAACGATTCTGAGTGGATTACTTGAAGGCCAATGCCATAAATAAATTGGACTCATACCCAATTGCAAAGCTGGTGGACTGTGCAGAAAAAGTTGGACAAGCTGCTTATATCACAAAGTTAGACTTACTTCGTGGTTACCTTTGTTAGAGAGTGCGAAAGAAGTTTCTGCATTTGTAACTCCAAATAGGCTATATCAATTTAACGTAATGCCCTTTGGAATGAAGAATGCAACAGCCACATTTCAAAGACTTATGAACAAAGTTGTGCCAGGATTGACTAATTGTGCCATCTATATAGATGACTTAGTGATCTTTAGCTATTCATGGAAAGATCACCTAGTGCATTTGGCAGAGCTGTTTGACAGTCTATGGGAGACAAAACTGGTTATAAATTTAGTGAAAACTGAATTTGCGAAGGTAGAAGTGACGTTCCGAGGACACAATTTCAGACATAGGAGGATGACGGCGAGGAATGTGAAAACGAAGACCATTAAGGAATTTGGGTTCTGAGGAAGGGTCACCGGACCCGAAACGTTAACTCTGTTTTTACCTTCACAGATGCTGCCAGACCTGCTGAGCTTTTCCAGCAACTTTGTTTTTGTTCCTGACTTACAGCATTCACAGTTCTTTCAGTTTTATTAAGAAATTTCCAAGACCATCCTTGAAGAAAGAGGTGCTTCGATTTTTGGGACTGAGCAGATTCTACTGGAAGCATGTACCAAACCTTAGTGGTATGGTGGCTCTGCTGATGGATTTGCTAAAGAAGAACGAAAAATTTCAGTAGACAGAATAATGCCAAGGGGCATTTGAGAATTTAAAAGCCGTGTTAACCACTGCACCAGTTTTAGCCACACCAAATTTCTTGAAACCCTTTAAAGTCGCTATTGACGCCAGCGATGTAGGGGTTGGAGCTATGTTGTTGCAGGAGGATGATGGTGGAATTGAAAGGCCAATCAGTTATGTTTCAAAGAAACTCACCAGAAAAAATACTCCACCATTGAAAAAGAGTTATTGAGTTTGGTACTAGCCTTACAACATTTTAATGTTTATGTTACAACACTTTGGAGCTGTTTTGTATATAGACCACAAACTCGCATCTTCTTGGAAAGATTTAAGGACAAGAATACCAGACTATTTCATTGATTGTACATGTTGTGGGTCATGAAAATGTTATTGCAGATGCGTTATTGCACGTTTAAAAGAAAATATGTAGATAAGATAGAACTGGTACGTTCCAATGTTAGATATGTATGCAGAATTAGTATGAAAGCTGTAACGTTAGATTACTGATCTATTTATGTCATTATAATGGTGTTAAGAATTTAAAAAAAAAAGCCATCTTTTCATAATTTTCTTAAAGGGGAGGTGTTACTACGTTGTGTAGAGTAATCATGAATTGGAAGATAGGAAGGTGGAATTTGCTTGTTTAAAAATGATAAGGGAGAAGAGTGTATGGCTTCTTTAAGAGTTAAAGTGCTTTTCTAAGCTTAGAGACTTATACAGAATGGGACCTTGTGCTTCAATTTTAATTATCAGAGAGGTTCGGCCTCCCCTTCCATAACACCAGTACCCCAGAGCATTGTCTCCCGTTCCCCAAAACCCCAGTGTACTGTCTCCCGTTCCCTACTGCCTCAGGACATGGTCTCCCCTTCCCCAACACCCGGTACACCGTCTCCCGTTCCCCAACACACCAGTACACTGTCTCCCATTCGTTAACACACCTGTAGACTTTCTCGTATTCCCCAATGCACCAGTACACTTTCTCCTGTTCCCCAGTACCCCAGCACACTGTCTCCTGTTCACTACTACACCTGTACACTGTCTCCTATTCTCCACTATCCCAATAAACTCTGTCCTGTTCCCCACTAGCCAGCACACTTTCTCCTGTTCCCCAGTACACATTCTCCTGTTCCTTAAAATTTGAGTGAACCGTTCCCTGTTCCCCAATACCCATCTGAATCCGATTCTGAACCTAAAAAGGAACTCGAGGGCCCTCCTGTGGCACAGAGAAATTGTCCCTATCCCTGAACTGATAGTACTAGGTTCAAGGCCCACCTGCTCCACAGGTGTGTAATAACATCTCTGAACAGCTTGTTTAGAAAAATATGTTAGTTTAAAAAAAAGATTAAAACGCCACCCAATCCTGAACCTTATGTGGAGCATAATCCTGATTCTCAACCTGATTCCAATCCTAAACCTGATCCAGAGGTCCAAATCATTCCAATGCTTGATCAGCATTTACTGGACTATGATTTATACAATACTGACTAGCCTGGCCCAGCTCAGGATCAGTCCAGCACTGATGACGAGCCCAGCACTGGCCAGCACCAAGGTCAGTCCATACAAAGACCAGTTAGACCTGGGTCAGCATTTGCGTACACACCCACACATATTCAGACATGCAGGCAGACACACACACACAAAGGATACCTCTCGCCTTGACCACTGGGAATTCCTCTCCAATACATCATCGCTTGACAAGTCTGAATCTTCTGATAAGCTCAGGTGCTGCCCAAGCTGGAGTCCTGCAACCGAAAACGACAGAAACATCAGAGGGTCAGTCTGGGCTGATAGTTAGCTTGGACTGAGGGTCATTCCTGGTCAATGTGTGGGATTGGGTCAGTGTGGCTGGTTGGGTAGGTGGTGTCAGTGGGGATCAGTGGGAGTCGGGGGGGTCAGCAGGAGTCAGTGGGAGGGGTGGAATCAGTGGGGTGTCAGTGGTAGTCAGTGGGGGGAGTCAGTGGAGATCAGTTAGGGGTGTCAGTGGTGATCAGTGGGGCCATCAATAGGAGTCAGCCGGGGTGGTCAGTGTCAGTGAGTTGGGAGCTGATGGGGAGTCAATAGGGAGGTAAGTGGGAGTCAGTGCGGGCGCAGTTGGAGTCAGTGGGGGCATCAGTGTCTGTTAGTTGGGGTTGGTGGGGAGACAGTTGTGGGGGAAGGGGGGGGGTGGTCAGTGAGGGACCAGTGAAGGCGCTTCAGTTGGAGTCATTGGGGGGAGTGGGGTCAGTGCGGGTCAATAGGGACAGGGTAAGTGGAGGCAGGGTCGGGGGTGGGGTCAGTGAGGGGTGAAGTCAGTGGGGATCAGTGGGCTCTTTGTGTACTGCCATGCGGATGCTTCTTACCTGCTGCTGTGTGGAGGATATTCCTTGAGTGTTTGCTGCTGGAATCAATGGTGTTGCTGCTGGACGGTGTACTGGAACACGGTGTCTCCTCCTTCTTCTTCCTGTCCTTCCTGTAACTGGAGAAGACCGATTTCCAGAGAGATTTGGGTTTGGGAAGATCCTCGGCTGGGCCGCTTGCCTTCTGAGACTGCCTACTGTCGCTCTTTGATTTCTTCTCCTTTTTGCTCTTTCGTGGTGAAAATAAAGAAGCCCTCTTCTTGATTTTACCAGCGGAGTCCTCTGAGGAGGCGCCAGAACCTTCAACAATGGACTCCTGAATGGCCGTGGGGCTCAGGAACCTGTCTCCCAGCATCTCCTGCTTGTGACCATTAGTTAACCTGATGCTCGAGGGGAAGGTGGTGTCAGGCCAGGCTGCCTCCTGAGCTCTTGCCTGTCTTGGCCCAATCCTTGCCTGGCCAGGGGAGTCTTCACTCATTTCCATGTCTCTCATCTTCCTCAGCTGCTTCTCCATAGCATCCCGGAGCACCTGGCTCTTTACAGACCTCTCTCGAGCCCTCATTCTTTCCTTGGCTATCTCTTTGGCCTCTGGTGTGATGTATGTCAAGAGTCTCTGTTTAGGAGTTGTTAGCTTTGAGACTGCAGCCTGGGCTAAGTGCAATGGAGAGACTTTCTCCTGTTTGGGCTGGCTGCTTGGGGGTGTATAGAATTGTTCATGGATGCTGGTATCGGGTGTCCGGTCATCGTACGTATCTTCTACGTCATCAGCGAAGGGAATCTCATCAATGCTGTCCGCAAGGGACTTCCTCATACTGTCAGGCTGACTGCCTCCTGCTGTGTCATGAGCTGGCCCTAGTTGCTCACTACTGACCAATGCAGGGCTGCTCTCGGTCCCACTCGCCCTCCTCTCCCGGATCTTCCTCCGTCGGAGGGTTGCGGGCTCCTCACCAGCAGGAGGTGGAGGAGGTGGGCTAGATGGTGGAGTTAACATACTGTCCGAGTTGTTCAGGCTCACACTGGCTGCTGTCCTGGTGTTGCTCAAGCTTCCGTTCAGACCAAGCCCAGAGGTGCTGCTCAAATCGTGCTGAGCACCATCTGAACTCTTGGGATCTAGCCCAGTAGAGGGGCTTGGGGTGACAGATGCCAGGGGCTGTTCCTCCATACCCGATATGCTGGATGTACGAGAGGCTAGTGGTGGACTTGCTGTGTGGCTCCTATGCTCCTCAAACATCTCGTCTGGTGTGAAAGATTGAGGAGAGGCTGACCCAGTGGTGGATAGGGTGAAACTGGTTTCAGATCCACTGGTTCGGTCCACAGGGCTGACCCCCAAATTCCTCCTGAGTTCCATACTCCTCAGCCAGAACTCATCAACAGGGTCCTTTCGGGAGAGCTTGTCTCCACCCAGGTCAGCCAGTCTTTCTGTCACCTTGTTGTGGGACTCTGTGCTAAGGGTGATGAGTGGGGTGGATGTGAGGATACTGCACACGGGCTGAGTTTTCACTGGTGACTGAGCTTTAATGGAAATTGTTACTTCGGAACAGGTTAGTGGTTGGCAGCAGATAACTGATGGGGCAGTACCAGGGCTCTGTGGCAGAGAGATAACAGGGGATGGGGCACTGCTGGGGCTCTGTGGCAGAGAGACAACAGGGGATGGGGCACTGCTGGGGCTCTGTGCCAGAGGACAAGGATGGGATGGGGTAGTGCCAGGGTTCTGTGCCAGGGGGGTATGAGGGGATGGCCCACTGCCTGGACTCTGTGCCTGAGGGGTAGGATGAGGTGGGGCAGTGCCAGGGCTCCGTACTAGAGGGGTACGAGGGGATGGGGCAGTGCCAGAGCTCTGTGCCAGAGAAGAAACAGTGGGCTGAGATTTCACTGGCGAACAAGATGATGGAGTTTCTGGGTAGCATAGAGGTTGTGATTGGACAGGAGGGTGGTCAGACAGGGGGGTGCTCACTTCCTGCGATGATGTCATTCTCCTTTCAGAGTCGAGTGGCGTCACAAAGGGACCCCTGGGAGACTGGAGGTCAAGCTGCTGCTGAAGGGGTGAAGAGAACAAGCATTTCAATCAGAAATACACAGGACAACTATGTACATACAGTCACAGTCATAATACACCAACAGGTGCACAGGCTACAGAGTAAACCTTACTCTTTTAAACTGTAAGCAAAGTTCTGTCTACACTTTCCCGATCAAATGCTCTCAGGACATGGACAGCATGGGGTTAGACGCAGAGAAAAGCTCCCTCTACATTATCTGCAACATATATTCCCAACAAAGGTGTAGAATTAGGTTAGATACAGGTTTCTGCTTCCTCTACACTGTTCCCATCAAACACTCCTAGTACAGGAACAGCATGGGGTTAGATACAAAGTAAAGCTCCTGTTACTTTTTTAAATGCAAAGTAAAGCTCTGTCTGCGCTGTCCCCATCAAACACTCCCAGGACAGGGATAGCATGGAGTTAGATACAGAGTAAAACTTCCTTGATACTGTTACTATCAAACATTCCCAGGGCAGTGACAGCATGGGGTTAGGTGCAGAATAAAGCTTCTTCTACTCTCTCCTTTTACTCTTTTAAACGGAAAGTAAAGCTTTCTCCAGTTAGATACAGAGTAAAGCTTCCTCGATACTGCACCCACCAAACACTACCAAGACAGGTATAGCATGGAGTTAGACAGAAAACAAAAATTCTCTACTCTTTCAAATTGAAAGTAAAGTCAAAGTAAACCCCCCTGTACTCTAATAAACCAACATCAAACTCCCTCTACACTGTTCCCATCAAACACTCCCAGGACAGGGATAACACTGGTTCTGACACTCAGTCTTATTTTAGAATGCGTTTTACCTCTCAAAATGTCCCCTGCTCACTGTTGGGTTCAGAGCTGAGGCACAGACTATTGAAGGATAAGTATATAAAGATTCAGAGTAGCCAGGCCAGTTTGGAAGGGAAAGGGTGAATCTGGATCTGTTCATCGTACCTCAGGCTGGCTTTTCTGTGTCCTGTCAGACAATAATTGAAGATCCAACCTGCTCACTGAGTGCACTCCCTGTGCTGGTTTGAATCCACCTGTAAATATCAGACACATCAACTTAGATTGAAATTGGAACTTTTAAGGGATTCAGTGAACTCTGAGGACATGTCCAGAGGAGCTTCAAGAGACCTTGCAGGGTTTTAATGAGATCACAGTGGGTATTGAAATTTCAGAGGAGACTGATAAAGTCTTGCATAAACCTGCAGAGATTGTGGATGGATTTGGTGAGATATTAGAGATTGCTGAGATTTCAGCGAAGACCATAAGAAAAAGGAACAGGAGTAGGCCATTTGGCCCCTCAACCCTGTTCTGCCTTCGACCCTGTTCCGCCATTCAATAGGATCATGGCTGATCTGACATTCCTCACGTTCAATATCCTGTCCTTTCCCCGTTACGCTTGATTCCCCTATTGAACAAGAATCCATCTATCTCCATGTTAAATATACACGAGTACTCTGCCACCACAGCTCTCTAAGGCGAACAGTTCCGAAGACACTCAACCCTCAAAGAAGAAATTCCTCCTCATCACAGTCTTAAATTGACACTCCTTTATTCTGAGACTATGCCCTCTGGTTCTAGACATTCAGATGAGGTGAACCGTCTCTCAGCATTGACCCAGTCAAGCCCCTTAAGAATCCTATATGTTTCAATGAGATCACCTCTCATTCTTTTATACTCCAGTGAGTAGAGTCCCAACCTGTTTAGCCTTTGTTCTTAAGACATTCTCCCCATAGCAGGGATCATCCTAGTGAACCTTGTCTGAAATGCATTCAATCAAATGATACCTTTCCTTACATGAGGGGATGAAAACTGCTCGTAGTACTCCAGATGTGGTCTCACCAGCACCTTGTACACTTACAGTAAGAATTCTGTATTCTTATACACCAACCTGTTGAAATCAGGGCTAATATTCCATTAGCATTCCTGATTATCCTGCTGCATCTGTGCGCTAGCTTTCTGTGTTTCACATACAAGTACCTTCAAGTCCTTTTGTGTTGCAGCTTTCTGCAGTTTTTCTTCATTTAAATAATACTTTGATCTCCCTTCCAAAACGAACAACTTCATATTTTCCCACATTATACTCCATTTGCCAACTTTTTGCCCACTTACTTCACATATCAATATCTCTGTGTAAGCTGTTTGTATCCTTCTTGTTGTTTCCTGTCCATTAACCAATTCTCTATCTACACTAATATCTAACCTCCAACACCAATGGCTCTTATGATTTAACCTTTTGTGAGGTACTTTTGTTGAATACCTTTTGGAAGTCCAAATACGACATATCTACCGATCCACTCGAGTTGAAACTTCTTCAACAAACTCTTAATGAATCAGTCAGACATGATTTCCCATTCATAAAGTATTCTGAACTTTCAGGTGTCAAAGAGAATGTGGAAAATTTTGGTGAGCTTCAAAGGGTTTGAAGTGATTGGGGAGTAGTCTGCTGAGATTTGAGGGACTTATTGATATTTCGGAGGGTTCTGACACTCTCTCCTGAATGGGCTTGATAAGAAATTGGAGCATCTGGATGTGACTGAAAAGCAGTTTGAAATACCAGCCAGTTTTAATAAATTCTTACAAGAACATTGTGGAGTTGATAAGATCCCTAAAATATCTGACTTCTTCACATGCACAAGGGCAGCTTCACAGGTGAAGCTCTTAGCACCCTACCCAAGTCTATCATAGAAACAAAATAGCCCGATCCTGGAAATCTGAAATAACATTAAAAACATTCTGGAAATAAGAAACATCGGTGGAGAGACAAACAGAAATAGTCTTTCATTTGGTGATACTGTCTGAAGTAACTGTTGGTAGGTGTTATCACCTCCAGTTATGCCTTGCTTTATGTGGGATATCATAAATTGGTTTCAGCACAGAAGAAGGCCTTTCAGCCCATTAAATATTTGCTAGTCATGTCTTGCATGAATCCTACTCAGGCCCATACCCTCCCCTCTTTTTCTAGTTCTTTAACAACTTTTTTCTAACTTTCATTCTGAATCACAACATTTTATCAACTATATTTTCAATTTCCAATCTTCTCTCAACTTCACCTGTTCCATTTCTGACTTTTCCCTTTCCTTCCTGGACTACTGTATCGATTTCTGGGACTGGGCTGTCAACCAATTTCTCCCATGAGCCCAACAACTCCCATAGCCATACTGACACAACGTTTCCTCACACCCTGCTTCAGCTCAGAATTCTATTCTTGTAGGTTCTCTGACTCTGTGATAACATGGCAATTTTCCAGACTCATATTGCTGGTATGTCTTCCTTTAACTTCAACTTGCTTCACAAGAGCCTCAATGTTCTTTCAACTTTTTGCGATTCCATTTCTCAGTCATTTCCCACCACACCTTCAGAGGAGTTTCTGCTGAGGGTCTTCATGTGACTGAATCCTGATCCACCGATTTTCATACACATGGAGCAGGAGGGACAGTGTGTCCCAGACACCTTGAGGGTCAGTGTGTCCCTGTTTGTGGGATGAAGTTTCTTGGGCATCCCAATCTCTGGTGCACATTGCAGAGCCTCATGATTTATTGAGACAAAAGATTCGTTCATGTTGATGAAGACAGCCTTGTTTTATGCCTTATCCTCACCTCAGATCTTGAGAAGACATTTCTGGTCTGAAATATTCATTCTGTTTTTGTCTCTCCATCAATGCTGGATGCCCTGTGGACTGTTGGCTGCCTTTTCTATTTTAACTTTCAGAACCTATTCCAGTGTCAGGTTTAGTAGAAAACACTTCATTTTACTAAATAACAAAAGTAAAAGGCACTATTTGGAATCCGGACCCAATCTTCAATCTTTTGCAACTAAATAATCCATTCTCCACGATTACATTCTGGTTTAAGTATACTGCAGATCTTGAGTGACTTGGAACAGGAATTCAAACAACAAGTCCTATTATCCGATCATCAAGGTCCCTTACATAACCTTCACGACAATAAACTGCATGCCATCTGCGTCCATCCCTCAGGAAGTTCCTTACAATGTGCTTTTCCCAATTAGCCTCCATTACACAAACTAATTCGAATCACAGAACTCCCTCCTCTCCTAGTGCCAGTCTCTCCCGGTGTCCTGCCTGCACTAAGTGATTATCACCCCATTCCTTACTCATGTGTGTCCGACTGCATTGACTTGCTGTCCCCCAATGTCAGGGATCTGAATGCATCAGCACTGTCCTTACTCCTTTGCATCTTATTCAGAGACACATTCCTAACTTGCACTTACAATAGGCCAGTAACTGCAGGGATGTGGGACAAAGAAGAGACTGAGATATGCATAGCACAGTGTAAGAGCAAGCAGAGGGAAGTTGCAGGAATCAGAGGGACGGGAGTTCTGGAGTGCATTTACTTCAATGGAAGAAGTATAGCAGGTAAGACAGATGAACTAAGAGCATGGATTACTGCATGGAATTATGATGACATTGCCAAAATGGAGACATGGTTAAAAATGGGGCAGGACTGGCAGCTTAACATTCCTGGATATCGGGATAGAAACGGAAACAAAAGGGGCTGGGGGAGTTGCACTGTTGATTAGGGATCACATCACAGCTGTGTTGAGGGAGGACACATCGGAGGAATCTTGCAGTGAGGCATTATGGGTGGAGCTGAGGAATAGGAAGGATGAAATCACAATGTTGGGAGTTTTCCATAGACCTCCCAACAGCCCAACAGACAGAGGAGCAGATAAGTAGTCAGATACTAGAAAGTTGTGAAAAAAGCAGGGTAGTTGTGGTGGGTGACTTCAACTTTCCTCTTATTGACAGCGACTCCCGTAGAGCCAGGAGCTTGGATGGACAGCAAGTTGTTAGATGTTTCCAGGAGGGCTTTTTGAGACAGTATGTTGACAATCCAACCAGAGAGGAGGCCATACTAGATTTGGTATTAAAGAACGAGCCAAGACAGATGATTGATGTTTCAGTAGGAGAGCATTTTGGGCTTAGTGATCATAACTCCATAAGATTTTGGGGAGTCATGGACGAGGACAGGGTGGCCCTCGGGTGAGGCGTTTAATTGGGCAAGAGCAAACTACATCCAAATTAGACAGGAACTGGAGAATGTGGATTGGGAGCAGTTATATGAGGGCAAATCTACATCTGGCATGTGGGAGACTTTTAAAGACCAGTTGATTAAAGTGCAGGACATGCATGTCCCTGTAAAACTGAAGGACAGGAATGGCAGGATGCAAGAACCATGGATGACAAGGGAAATTGTAAACTTAGTCAAAAGGAAAAAGGAAGCATACAATAGGTCTAGGCAGCTACACATTGATAAAGCCCTTGAGGAGCATAGAGAAATTAGGAATTGATTTAAACGCAGAATTAGGTAGGTTAAAAGGGGCCATGAAATATCTTTAGCAAATAGGGTCAAGGAGAATCCCAAGGCTTTTTGTGCAAAAATTAGAAGAAAGAGGGTAGCAAGGGAAAGAGTAGGCCTCCTCAAGGACAAAGGAGGGAAATAATGGGTGGAGCCACAGGAAGTGGGAGAGATCCTTAATAAGTACGTTGTATCACTATTCACCAAGGAGAAAGACGTGACTGATGTTGAAGTCAGGGATGAGTGTGTGAAAACTCTAGAGAATGTCGATATATTAAAGGAGGAAGTTTTGGGTATCCTAAATTGCATTAAGGTAGACAAGTCCCCAGGGCCAGATGGGATCAATCCCAGGTTTTTTCAAGAGGCAAGGGAAGAAATAGCTGGGGCACTAGCAGATTCCTTCACATCCTCCTTGACCACAGGCAAGATTCCAGAAGATTGGAGTTTAGCCAACTTTGTTCCCTTTTTAAAGAAAGGGTTCCCTTTTTTAAGAAAGGAAGCAGGGATAATCCAAGAAATTATAGGCCAGTGAGTCTGACATCTGTGTTGGGGAAGCTCTTGGAGAAGATACTGAAGGACAGGATATATGCACATTTGGAAGAACATGGACTAATTAGCAACAGGTAGCATGGTTTCGTACAGGGAAGTTCATGTCTCACCAAACTGATTGAATTTTTTAAAGAGGTGACAAAGCTAATTGCTGAAGGAAGAGCTGCAGATGTAGTTTATATGGACTTTAGTAAAGCGTTTGATAAATTCCCACCTGGCAAACTAAAATCACATGGGATTTGGGGTGGGCTGGCTAGATGGATACAAAACTGGCTTGGTCATAGAAGACAGAGGATAGCAGTGGAGGAGTGTTTTTCACAATGGAGACCGGTAACTAGTGGTATTCCACAAAGATCAGTCTTAGATCCTCTGTTGTTTGTAGCGTATATAAATAATCTGGAGGAAAAGTAAGTTTGCAGATGACACGAAAATTGGTGGAGGTGCTGATAGTGCCGACAATTGTGAAAGGATACAACAGGATATAGACAGATTGGTGACTTGGCCTCAGAAATTGCAGATGGAGTTTAATCCAGACAAATACGAGGTGATGCATTTCAGAGGATCAAATTTAGGTGTGAATTATACTGTAAATGGCAGAACCTTTAATATACAAATGGATCTGGGTGTGCAGGTCCACAGTTCCCTAAAAGTGGCAACACAGGTCGACAAGGTGATTAAGAAGGCATGTGGCATGCTTGCCTTCACCGTCCGGGGCCTGGAGTACAAAGGTTGGCCACCCATGTTGCAGCTAAATAAAACCCTTGTTAGGCCACACTTGGAGTACTGTGTGCAGTTTTGGTCGCTGCATTACCAGAAGGAGGTGGAAGATTTGGAGAGAGTGCAGAGAAGGTTCACCAGGATGTTGCCCGGACTTGAGGGCATCGGCTATGAGGAAAGATTAAAAAGACTAGGATTGTTTTCACTGGAAAGATGGTGGCTGAGAGGAGACTTGATAGAGGTCTACAAAATTATGAAAGGCATAGATTGGTGGATAGTGAGAGGCTTTTTCCCAGGGTTGAAATTTTAATTACAAGGAGGCACAGGTTCAAGGTGAGAGAACAAAAATTTAAGGAAGGTGTGCGAGGAAAGTTTTTCACACAGAGAGCGGTAGGAACCTAGAATGCAGTGCCAGAAAAGGTGGTGGAAGCAGGCACGTTGGCGACATTTAAGGAGCATCTGGATGGTTATACGAATAGGGAAGGAATAGAGGGATACAGACTGAATAAGGGCAGAAGGTTTGTTTTTTTAATTGAGTCAGGGCATGATGATCGGCACAGGCTTAGATGGTTGAAGGGCCTATTCCTGTACTGTAGTTCTCTTTTGTTTGTTAGTTTTTGTTTTATTATCATCTCTCGTTCCACAGTCTGTACGACTCTGACTCAGTTTGGCTAGGACACTACCCATACCTATGATCTATTCCTATGTTAAACAGATTGATTGATTGTGATTGACAGTCAGATGAGTGTCACTGAGGATTTACCTGGAGTTCCAATCTCACCACAGGCTTCCTCCTTCTCCCGCACTAACTGCTCCAGCTCCTCTGTGTAAGAAATCAAGTTCTCGGCCTCTGCATCTGATGCAATATCTGTCAACATGAAAGACAACTGTGAGCAGCAATGTAGTGTGAGGGGCGGTGTGACCCTGTTAGTGTGAGGAACAGTGTGTCTGGGTCACCCCGAGGGATAATGTGACTGCGGGGCAGTGTGTCTGGGTCAGTGAGCAGTAGTGTGACTGGGTCAGTGAGGGACAGTGTGTCCGGGTCATTGAGGGACAATGTGTCCCTCTCAGTGAGGGGTAGTGTGTCTGGGTCAGTGAGGGACAGTGTGTTCCAGTCACCCTGAGGGCCAATGCATCTGGGTCACCCTGAGGGTCAGTGTGTCTGCGTCAGTGAGGGACAGTGTGTTCCAGTCACCCTGAGGGACAGTGTGTCTGGGGACAGCGACATTGTGATGCACTCTAGGTCTTGGCTGATGACTGGATTCCTTGCCTGAAGCTGATGACACGTGTTTGATTTGTGGGAATGGGACATCCCTGTCCACATTTATGGCCAATCCATTGTTCTGATAAGTGACACACCATTTTCAACTGCTGCACTTGGTTTGGTGAAGGTGTTGCAGAGTTACAGGAGCCACAAAGGTTCATTGTGTAACCATTGTTACTAATTCAGAGTTACCACTGACAGACCACTGTGCTCATAACTGAACCAACAAGAAAGTAAAACATACCTGACCTCACCTTTACCAAACTGCCAGCTGCAGATGCATCTGTCTATCATAGTTTCTGTAAGAATGACCAACGCACCGTCCTTGTGGAGGCAAAGTCCCTGCATTCACATTGAGAATAACCTCCATCGTGTTGTGTGGCACTATCACCATGCTAAATGGGACAGACTTCGAACAAATCTAGCAATTTAAAGATTTTGAGAAGATTTGTAGCTCGGGTTGTGGATGAGGTTGTAGACTTGCTCACTGAGCCGGTTTGTTTGGTTGCAGATGTTTCATCACCCTGCTCGGTAACATCATCAGTACAGCTCCAGTGAAGTGTTGGTGTTCTGTCCCGCTTGTTATTTATATGTCTCGCTTTTCTGGGGTGGTTGGCATCACTTCCGGTTCTGTTTTTTCAGTGGTTTGTATATCGGATCCAGTTCAATATGTTTGTTGATGGAGTTCCGGTTGGAATGCCAGGCCTCCAGGAATTCCCTGGCTTGACTCTGTTTGGCTCTTGCTATTATGGATGTGTTGTCCCTGTTGAATTTTTGTCCTTCTTTGTCCGTGTTTATTGAGGTCAGTAAGAATTGCTCGTGTCTCTTGGTGACTAGTTGGTGTTCGTGTATCCTTATTGTTAGTTTTCTTCCAGTTTGGCCTATGTAATATTTTTCACAGTCCTCGCATGGTATTTTGTATATTATGTTAGTTTTATTAATTGTGGGTATGGGATCCTTTACGTTCATTAGTAGCTGTTGCAGGGTGGATGTTGGTTTATGGGCTACCCTGATACCTAGGGGTCTGAGGTGTCTTGTGGACATCTGTGATATGTCTCTTATTTACGATAGGGTGACTAGTGTGTTTGGTCATGTTGTGTCTTGTTGTGGTCTGTCACGGAGGTAACAACAGATTGTGCTTTTTGGGTATCCATTTCTTTTAAAAACTCTGTCTAAGTGCTCCTGTTCTGCTTTACTCATGCCGGATTGCTGTAGTGTGTTGTGGCCTGTTTGGATAATGTCCTTATGCAGCTCGGTTTATGGGTGTTGGGTTGGTTGCTGTAGTAATTAAGTAACTGGTCCGTGTGTGTGGCCTTTCTGTATCCGCTAGTCTGGAGTTCCCTGTTGTTCTTAAGTTCTACCATTATGTCTAGGAAGGGTAGTTGGTTATTGTTCTCTTCTACTTTTGTGAATTTAGTTCCGGTGAGGATGTTGTTCCGGTGGATTTCTTCTAGTCATGTGTGTTTGACAATCACAAAGGTGTCATCTACATAGTGGACCCAGAGGTTGGGTTGTATAGTGGGGAGCTCTGTTTGTTCTAACCTTTGCATTACTGCTTCCACTGTCAGTCCTGATTTTGGGGATCCCATTGGTGTTGATTTGTTTGAATATACTGTCATTGAAGGTGAAGTGGATTGTAAGTCACGGATCCAGCAGTTTCAGGGTGCTGTCCTTGTTGATGCTGTGTCCTGAGTTGCCTGCCTTCCTGATTCGTCCAGCAGTGTGGCATTGTCTCTTTGGCTAGGTCGATGGTTATGGATGTAAATAGTGCTGTTACGTCGAAGGATATCATTATCTCATCCTCTTCTATTCTGGTGTCCTTGATGATGTTGAGGAATTCTTGGGAGGAGTGGATGGAGTGGTTAGCGTTCTCAACTAATTATTTCAGTTTCCATTGTTGTTCTTTGGCTATATGTTGGCATGCCTAGTAATGTGACAATGGGTCTCCCCAAGGTACACAAGCCAGGGGTCCCCCTCAGACCCACTATCTCACTACCAGGCATATCAACATTTAGCCAAAGAACTACAACGGAAACTGAAATACTTAGTTGAGAACACTACTGGAACAAAACTCACAAAAGAAGATGAGAACAATAACCGACTACCCTTCTCAGACATAATGGTAGAACTTAAGAACACAGGGAACTCCAGACTAGCGGATACAGTAAGGCCACAAATACGGACCAGTTACTTAATTACTCCAGCAACCACCCCAACATCCATAAACGGAGCTGCACAAGGACATTATTCAATTGGCCTACAACACACTGCAGCAATCTGGAATTAGCAAAGCAGAACAGGAGCACTTATAGAGAGTTTTTAAAAGAAGTGGGTACCCAAAAAACACAATCCATGACAGACCGCAACAAGAAGACACAACACGACCAAACATACTAGTCACCCTATCGTACACGACAGACATATCAGAGATGTCCACAAGACTACTCAGACCCCTAGGTATCAGGGTAGCCCACAAACCAACACGGGGAGGCGATGGCCTAGTGGTATTATGGCTAGACTGTTAGTCCAGAGACTCAGATAATGCTCTGGGGACCTGGGTTCGAACCGTGGCAGATGGTAGAATTTGAACTCAATAAATATCTGTAATTAAAAATCTAATGATGACCGTGAATCGATTGTTGGGAAAATCCCATGTGGTTCACTAATGTCTTTTAGAGAAGGAAACAGCTATCCTTACCTGGTCTGGCTTACATGTGACTCCCGACCCACAGCAATGTGGATGACTCTTAACTGCCCTCTGGGCAATTAGGGATGGGCAATAAATGCAGCCTGGGCAGTGACGCCCTCATTCTGTGAATGAATAAAGGAACCACCCTGCAACAGCTACTAATGTAAAGGATCCCATAACCACAACCAATAAAACTAACGTAATATACAAAGTACTATGCAAACACTGTGAAAAATATTAACATGTCAAACTGAAAGAAAACTGACAATAAGGATACACGAAATAACACAGTGTGGAGCTGGAGGAACACAGCAGGCCAGGCAGCATCAGAGGAGCAGGAAAGCTGACGTTTTGGGTTGGGACCCTTCTTCAGAAATGCGGGAGGGGAAGGGTGCTCTGAAATAAATGGGGGTGGGGCGGTGATAGCAGATAGATAGTGGAGCGGATAGGGTGGGAGAGAAGACGGACAGGTCAAGGAGGAGGGGATGAAGCTAGTAAAGGTGAGTGTAGGTATGCAGTGGTCGGGATTGGTCAGTGAGGTGGGAGGAGCAGATAGGTGGGCAGGTCAAGGAGGCAGGAATGAAGCTAGTAAGGGTGAGTGTAGGTAAGTAGTGGCGGGAGGAGAGGATAGGTGGAAAGACGGACAGGTCAATGAGGCATGGTTGGAGGGGAGCTGGTCTTGGGATGAGGTCGGATGGAGAGATTTTGAAGCTAGTAAAGTCCACATTGAGACCATTGCGTTGCAGGCTTCCAAGGCGGAATATGAGGTGCTGTTCCTCCAGTTTCTGGGTGGCATCATTGTGACACTGGAGGAGGCCCAGGATGGACATGTTGTCCAGGGAGTGGGAGGGGGAGTTGAAGTGGCTTGCGACTGGGAGCTGTTGTCGTTTGTTGCGAACTGAGCGTAGGTGTTCTACAAAGCAGTATCTGAGCCTCCGCTTGGTCTCACCGATGTAGAGGAGGCCACATCGGGAACAGCGGATACAATAAGCCACATTAGCGGATGTGCAGGTGAACATCAGTTTGATGTGGAAGGTTTTTTTGGGGCCTGAGATGGGGGTGAAGGGGGTGGTGTTGGGGCAGGGGTAGCACCTCCTGCGGTTGCAGGAAAAGGTGCCGGGGGTGGTGGGGCTAGTCGGGAGTGTGGAGCGGACGAGGAGGTCGCGGAGAGAGCAGTCCCTCTGGAAGGCAGGTAAGGGTGGGGAGGGAAATATATCCATCGTAGTGGGGTCAGATTGCAGGTGAAGGAAGTGGCGGTGAATAATGTTTTGAATCCGGAAGTTAATGGGTTGATAGGTGAGGACAAGGGGTATTCTGTCTTTGACTTTATTGCGGGGAGAGGGTGTGAGGACTGAGTTGCGGGAAATGCAAGAGATACAGTCAAGGGCGTTTTCGACCACTAAAGGGGGGGAAGTTGCGGTCCTTGAAATACGAGGACATCTGGGATGTTCGGGAGTGGAACGCCTCATCTTGGCAGCAGATGCAGTGGAAGAATTGGGAGTAGGGGATCGTATTCTTGCAGGAAGGTGGGTGACAGGAAGTGTAGTCTAGGTAGCTGTGGGAGTCGGTGGGCTTGAAATAGATATCAGTTTCAAGGTGGTCACCAGAGATGGAGACAGAGGTCCAGGAAGGAGAGAGAGGTATCAGAGATGGTTCAGGTGAACTTGACATTGGGGTGGAAGGTGTTAGTAAAGTTGATGAACTGTTTGAGCTCCTTGTGGGAGCACGAGGTGGTGCCGATACAGTCATCGATGTAATGGAGGAAGAGGTGGGGGATAGGGCCAGTGTAGCTGCGGAAGATGGACTGTTCCAAGTATCCTACAAGGAGGCAGGCATAGCTTGGGCCCATGCGGGCTCCCATGGCTACCCCCTTAGTCTGTAGGAAGTGGGAGGAGTTGAAGGAGAAGTTGTTAAGGGTAAGGATGAGTTCAGTTAAGCGGAGAAGGGTGTCGGTGGACGGGACTGGTTGGGCCTGCGGGAGAGGAAGAAGCAGAGGGCTTTTAGGCCATCTGATTGGGGAATGCAAGTATACAGTGATTGGACATCCATAGTGAAGATGAGGTGTTGGGGGTCAGGGAATTGGATGGTTTGGAGGAGGTGAAGGGCATGGGTGGTTTCCCGGACGTAGGTGGGGAGTTCCTGGACCGGGGGGAGAAAATAGAGTTGAGATAAGCGGTGATAAGTTTGGTGGGGCAGGAGCAGGCAGAGACAGTGGATCGGCCAGGGCAGTTGGGTTTATGGATTTTGGGAAGAAGACAGAAACGGGCAGTGCGGGGTTGGGGAACGATGAGGTTGGAGGCTGTGGCTGGGAGGTCACCTGAGGTGATGAGGTTATGGATGGTCTGGGAGATGATGTTTTGGTGGTCAGGGGTGGGGTCATGATCAAGGGGGTGGTAGGAGGAGGTGTCAGAGAGTTGGCGCCTGGCCTCAGCGATGTAAAGGTCAGTGTGCCATACCACAACTGCGCCACCCTTGTCCACAGGTTTGATAGTAAGGTTAGGGTTGGAGCAGAAGGAGTGGAGGGCTGCATGATCTGTGGGGGAGAGGTTGGAGTGAGTGAGAGGGGAGGAGAGGTTGAGGCGATCGATGTTGCGATGGCAGTTGGAGATGAAGAGGTCGAGCCAGGGAAGGAGGCCTTGGGATGGTGTCCAGGAGGATGGGGTGTGTTGGAGGCAGGAGAAGGGGTCTACAGAAGTGGGGGGAGGGTTAGACTCGCGGTTAAAGAAGTGAAGACAGAGGCGGCGGAAAACTGTCCAATGTCCAGGTGTGAGTGGTATTCATTGACGTTCGGCTGGAGGGGGATGAAGGTGAGTCCTTTACTGAGGACTGACCGTTCATCCTCTGTGAGGGGGAGGTCTGGGGGGATGGTGTAGACCCGGCAGGGCTGGGGGCTGGCACTGGCTGTAGAGCTGGTGGCTTTAGGGTGGTGGGTGGAGCGGTGTCGGCAGTGGGCGGAGTGGCGTCAGCATTGGGCAGAGTGGCGGATACACGAACACCAACTAGTCACCAAGAGACACAACCAATTCTTACCGGTGTCAATAAACAAGTACAAAGAAGGACAAAAATTCGACTGGGACAACACATCCATAATAGAACGAGCCAAACAGAGACATACCAGGGAATTTCTGGAGGCCTGGCATTCCAACCGAACTCCATCAACAAACACATTGAACTGGACCCAATGTACAAACCACTGAAAAACAGAACCGGAAGTGGTGCCAACCACCCCAGCAAACTGAGGCATATAAATAACAAGTGGGACAGAACACCAACACTTCACCGGAGCTGTACTGATGATGTTACCTAGCAGGGTGATGAAATATCTGCAAGCAAACACATCGGCTCAGTGAGCAAGTCTACAACTTCAAGTCTAGCAATTCAAGACTGGGCATCTGTGAGGTACTGTGGGCTATGAACAGCAGGAAAACTGCATTCAACAATAATCTGAAACCCGGCATACTCCCCATTCTACCCGTGCCGTCATGTCAGGGAATCAGCCCTGGTTCAATGGAGAGTGCAAGAGGCCATGTCAGGAACAGCACCAGGCATACCTAACAATCAGGTGTCAACCCGGTGAAGCTACCAAACAGGATTGCTTGCATACCAAACTTCATAAGCAGCAAGTGATAGACAGAGCTAAGTGATCTCACAGCAACAGATCAGATCGAAGCTCTGCAGTCCTGCCATATCGAGTCACGATTGCTGGGGGACAATTAAACAGCTCACTGGAGGAGGAGACAACACATTTGTTTATCTCAGTCTCCCATAAATTCAATGATGGGGTATCCACAAACCTCTGAGATAGGAAAATCCAAAGATGCTTTCAGTAAGATATTTTTTCCATTTCTCAGTGATATTTCCCTAATCCAAAACCTATGTCACCTTGTTCTAATTTCCTTACCCAGGGGAAACAACCAATTAGTGTTGGCCCTGAGAAACCCTTAAGAATCTTGAATGTTTCATTCAGATCACCTCTCATAAACTCAAGAGAGTATCAAACAATTTACTCAGCATCATATTGTAGGATGACCCTGTTATCACAGAGAACAATCTAGCGAACCTTCACTGTACCACCTCCAATGCTAGTATATTCTTCCTTAAATTTGGAGACTAGAAGAACTGCACACAATATTCCAGGTGTGGTCTCACCAACATCCTGTACAATGCAGCAAGAGCTCTTTATTCACGTACTCCAATCCCTTGTAATAAAGGCCAACATATCATTTACGTACTCAACTGTTTGCTGTATTTGCACATCTGTTCAAACATCAACTTCTAAAAGGTTCACACCTTTGAAAAATATTCTGTTTCAATGAGTGAAGTAAATGACGTCGCACTTGCCCAGATTATAGTTCACCTGCTGTTGTTGCCCTTTCACTTGCAGCCTCTTTGTGTTCCCATCACTCACATTTTCACCAACCTATTGCCAGCAAACTTATATCCATTATTCTGTGCTATCAATGGCAAGACGTTCACAAAATAGATATCATCTGCAGGACATTCAGTGTATCATCCTTGAACCCTTTCGTTTGCACCTGAACCTCAATCTTCCCAGACTCAGTCACTCAGCATACCGTCATCGAACGCTGCTCCATCATCATCTTCCTCATCCTCCACGTCGTCATCCTCATCTGGGCTTAATTCCACCTCTATCTGCTGTTCTGGGGATGCAACACAGAAAGCAGAAGAATTGAAACACTGCCTCAGTCACAGTCCAGCCAGTTGAAAAGATTGCAGCATATTTATACCTCTGATAGTACTCTAATACATTCCTCAAAAGAGCTCCATTCCTAATGGGGCATGTTCATCATCAAACAATACAAATTGCTTGCAAAAGGTCCCAAGAAGCTTACAAAGATTGTTATAAAGAAGGATTTTGACATCAAGCCACAGAGTGTGATATCAGGTCAGTTTGGTCAAAATTTTAATGAGCGTCCCAAAGGAGGAAGACAGGCTGAGCATTTAAAAGAGAGAAAATTAAAAGTCGAGGCAGCTGACAACATGGACTTTAATGCAAGAGCCATTCAGGCAGCCACATGCCAGATGTCAGAACTCATGGAGTCCTTCAAGCTCTCAAAGATTTACAGGGCTAAAGAAGGTTCCAGAAAGCAAAGTCACATGGGAAACAACAATGCAGCATTTGAAACTAAAGAATGGATTGCAAAAAAGTTTCACCACTGGCCAAACCAGGAGCATGTTACTGGCAAGTCAAATTCAACTACTTTACCCTTGTCTCCAATGCAGTCCTCACAATCCTTAATAGTATCCACAAATCATCACTCCCCAAAGTCAAAACAAACTAATCTCCTGACCCTATACCACCTAGTATAACTCCTCATTCCAACACCTTTTAATATCCCACCCCATCTAATCCCACTCTCCCAGTCACTCTACACACCCGATACCTCTCAGCATAACCTCTCAGTCCCAAGATTCTTTCATATCCAAGTCTAATCCCACTCCCCCCTCACTCCCCACATCCTATACCACCCAGTATAGCCCCGCTCCCAACACCCTTTAGTATGCCACCCAGTCTAATCTGACACTCCTTCTCACTCCTTACACCCTACACTACCCAAGTATAACCCCTCACTCCCAACACCCTTCAATATTCCATACAGTCTAATCCCAATCCCCCTTCAATCCCCACACCCTATACCACCCAGTATAGCCCCACTCCCAACACCCTTTAATATGCCACCCAGTCTAATTCCACTCTCCTTCTCAGTCTTTACACCCTATACTACCCAGTATAACCTCTCACTCCCAACACCCTTCAATATTCCACACAGTCTAATCCCACTCTCCTCACTCTCTACACCATTTAATAATCCAGTTTAATCCCATTGTCCCCCTCATCCCCAACATCTTTTAATATCCCACCCTGTCTAATCGCATTCTCCCCTTTCACTCTGGAACCCTTTACTATCCTACTCAGCCATGTTAAATTCTCCCTTACTCTCACATCAGTGGAACAATATCTCCCGTGTGAACTCATCTCAATGTTCACCCATCCACTCAGACTCTTTCTGTCGGAGACCCACTGTCTCCTCTTCATTGTTATCCTTCTGTCTGTCTGAAACACCCTGTTTCTCTTTGTCTGCAGCTAGCTGAATTCCATCCATTCTTCTTCCTGTTTGACATTGCTTCTCACGCCAGTTACTGTGAGCGCAATTATTTGATTTTGATATTTTCTGTTTGAAAGTCAGTAAGCAAAGCAAAATTCCTTCAGATATTTACATGCCAAAAGTCAAACTTGAGAGAGGTATAGCAAGCAAAGTAGCATTTTGTGGACTTGATATGCTCTGAGAGGGAACATTTTCTCACTCATCTTGTCCTCAGCCAATTTCTCAATGACATCCTCAATCTCTTTTCTTAGCCCCAAGTCTAAATGAGTTCTGACTCTCTCCCTCCCTGCCTAGTCTCCCAAAAACCTGACTTAGACATGCTCACTCTGACAAAGATGCCCTGAAGAAGTGCGACAGAAGCAGAGGGAAGCAGCTTCATGCCCAGACTTTCCTTACAGAAACAAAACTACCTCTGGACACGGAATCCAACCATGCTCGAACTGCTTCGTTCCGAAATGGGGGAGCGTCAGAGGCTACATTGAGAGAAGAAATAAAAATCCAATGAATGGATGAAATGAATGGGAGATGTTCTATGTGAAATGAAGGAAAGTGAAGTAATTGCTGACACTCTGGGTGCTCACATTTGATAAACCCAAATCCCAGCCAGAGCCACTTTGGTCACATGGACTTCAGCAACAATACTAAAGAAATATTCAACACCCCCACATGTTGGGTGCACTCAAGGCACCTTAATATAAGTAAGAGTTAAAGGATACTCCACCTTCCTACTCGCCTGTCGCTGTCTTGTTTTGATCCTCTTAGATAAGCCTACAGTTTCCCTTAGTGTCTTTGTTGGTATTCTCTGAAGCCAATATCAAGTTCTCTCTGCTGTCTCTTCATGAACAGCTTTTCCAGTTGACCCATCCTGCCAGTGACTGTACCCCGCACACCCACCCCCAAGACCATTGCCTGGGGGTGATCTTGTCAATCTCCTCCCTATTAACACCCCTGCCCTATTTCTGCAACCATGGGCTCTGCCAGTGGATCAGCTCTCGTTGCTCTCTCCACACCCCTGTTCAGAATGTAAACAAGCTTCCTTCTGTCCTTTGTTCACTGTAGATGAGTACCGCAAGCATCATGGCCTTGATGGAAACCTGGCTGAGGGGCGATGGCACCTCCCTCTAGCTGACGTCTAAATGTGTTAATATCTTCCAAAACTTGCCTTGCCCAGGCTGCTCAGGTATTGGTGCAGCTCTTACCACCAACCCATACCTTGATCTATCCTTTCACTGCTGCAGCGCTTTCACCTCCTTTGGGAATCTCACCTTGTTCCACCCGTCATATTGAAAATTATTACTTTCTACCACCTTTTAATTTAATAGACTAATTGTACGTAGGTTGTGGTCACCAACCTGAGTCCCTAAAAATAGACACTGAATTAAATATAGGTGTTGGGCGAGGAGATGCAAGCTTCTAATGTGTAATTCTGTAAATAAATATAGTAGTGTGTAAAGACTGGCTTCTTCTATCCTTCAACAACTGGCATTCTATGATATAACATGGTATCACAGGATGGTTGCCTACACATGAAGGTTTTAAGCTAAGATTAAAAATTCAGACTGAAACCTACAATCTTAGTGGTCAATGCGGAAAGCAAGTTTATATAGTTGAGGTATGATTAAACACCAGGTTTCAGAACCAAATATCTACTCCCTCGACCACCGATGCTCAGTAGCAGCAGTGAGTGCTATCTATAAGATGTGCTGCAGAAATTCACCAAAGATCCTTAGATAGCAAACCCATGACCACTTCCATCTAGAAGGACATGGGCAGCAGATACATGGGAACACCAACACCTGGAAGTTCCCCTCCAAGCCACTCACTATCCTGATTTGGAAGTATATCACCTTTCCTTCACTGTCACTGGGACAAAATCCTGGAATTCCCTTCCTAAGGGAATTGAGGGTCTATCTACAGCACATAGACTGCAGTGGTTCAAGAAGGCAGCTCACCACCACCTTCTCAAAACAGGCAAAAAATGCTGGTCGCGCTAACAATGCCCATATCCCACAAATGAGAAAAAAAACCAAGTGGAAGATTGAAGTGGATATGGCGATATGGATTACAACTCAGCAATAAGCAACAAGATACTGCTTTGACATTCACTTTACAGTCAAAGTCATGGAGATCTAAAGCTCAGAAAAAGGCCCTTAGGCTCAATGAGTCTGTGCCAGTCAAAAACAACCACCTAACTATTATAATCCCATTTTCCAGCACTTGGCCCATAGTCTTCTTTACCTTGGCATCACAAGTTCACACCTAAATACGTCTTAAATGTTATGAGGGTTTTTGCCTCTACCACCCTCACAGGCAGCGGGTTCCAGATTCTCACCACCATCTGGGTGAAATAGTTTTTCCTCATATCTCCTTTAAACCTTCTGTCCCTTACCTTAATCTATGCCCCCGATCACTAATCCCTCAATCAAGGGGAAAAAGTTTTGTTCTATCGACCCTATCTATGCCCTCACAATTTTATACTTCTCAGTCATGCCCCTCTCAATGTCTTCTGCTATAGGGAAAACAACCCCAGTCTGTCCAATCTCTCTTTATAACTGCAATTCTCCAGCCCAGATAATATCCTGGTAAATCTCCTCTGTTCCCTCTCCAGTGCTATTACATCCCTTCTCTAATGTGAATTCCAAAACTACACACAAAACTCTAGCTGTGGCCTAACTAGGGTTTTATACAGTTCCAGCATAAACTTTCCACTCTTAATCTTTATGCTTTCACCAATAAAGACAAGTATCCCATATGCCTCCTTAACTACTTTATCCACCTGTCCTGATGCCTCAAGTGACTGGTGGACACTCACATCAAGGTCCCTCTAATCTTGGTGCTTCCTAGAGTTCTAGCATTCATCATATATTCCCTTGCCTTGTATGCCTTGCCCAAGTGCATCACCTCACACTTATCCAGATTGAATTCTATTCACCACTGATTAGACAATCCATATCCACTTGTAGTCTAAGGCTATCTTCCTCACTATTTAATACGTCAGCAGTTTTGGTATTGTCTGAAAATTTACTGATCAACCTGCCAAATTCAAGTCTAAGTTATTTACATAAACCACAAACAGCAAGGGCCCCAACACTGACCCCTGTGGGATTCCAGTGGATAGAGATTTTCAATTGGCAAAACAGCACTCAAACATCACCTTCTACTTCTTGCCACTCAGCCAATTGTAGATCAAATTTGCTCTTACCTTTGTTATTAGTCTCCCGTGTGGGACGTTCTCAAAAGCCTTGCTGATGTCCAAGTAGACTACATCAAAAACCTTGCCCTTATCTATACATCTGGTCACCTCTTCGAAAAATTCAATCAAGTTGGTCAGACATGACCTCCCCTTAACAAAACCATGCTGATTGTTCTCGATTAATCCCTGCCCCTCCAAATTCAGATTAATTCTGTCCCTCAGAACTGCTTCCAATAGTTTCTCCACCACTGACTGGCCTGTAGTTTCCTGATTTATCTTTTGCTCCCTTCTTCAATAATGGTACCACATTAGCTGTCCTTCAGTCCTCTGGGACCTCTCCTGAAGCCAGAGAGAAATTGAAAAGACAGGACAGGACAGGATTTCAATTTGCGATTTAGTGTAAAATAAAAGGGGGGCTTTGAGAATTGAAATGTCTCCAATAAGGTAATTGGTCACGATGGTAAGAAAATATTTATCAAAAATGGCAAGCAAACTGTCAAGGTATAACCTGGAAACAAATTGGGAAGTGACAAAATCTGAGTCTGAGCAGCTGTTGATGTATGGGATATGGGTGTTACTGGTGAGGCCAGCATTTAATGTCCATCTTTAACTGTCCCTTGAACTGAGTTGGAAATGGAAATTCAGAGTCAACCCCATTTCTGGGGGTCTGGAGTCACATGTAGGCTAAACAAGATATGCATGGAAGACTTCCTTCCCTAAAGGACATTATATACCTCAAATGCCCAAGTGTTTTGTGTTGACCACCTTCAGAAACAGAATATGGGTCTGGATGATTGCAACCTGAGTGATCCTTACACACAGACAGACTGTCATATGCACAGCTGATTGTCCAGGCTGGGTCCAAATTGTCCAAACAATGAGACTGAAGGGAGAGATGTGACCATTGTGGGGCTAGCAAGAAAAGCAACTGGCCAGGTTAAATACTGGGAATGCCCAGGATGATAGCCAAAGAAGTAAGGGCCATGCTTGAACAGAAGGAGGTGAAAATATGGAGACAGCGCTCAGTGCGTTCAGAGAGTGGTCCAGGATGTGATTCTTGCCACAAAAAAAAAATCCAATTGAGAGGATGCCAGAACTGTTATATGAGGAGACTGGGCCCTGTATTCTCTGGAGTTCAGAAGAACGAGATGCAATCTCATTGAAAGTGAGATTTCATCTAAAATTGTAAAGATAGGGTAGATGCAGGAAGGACATTTCAATGGCCAGGGAGTCTAGAGCCAGGAGATACAGTCGCAGAATAAAAGGACTAAAATGAGGATGAACCTCTTCACCCAGAGGGTAGTAAATGTTTGGAATTCTCCACCTCAGGGACCTCTTGAAGCTCAGTAATTGAGCAGGTTCAAGACAGAGATTGAGAGATTTCTTGTTACTAATGACATCAAGGTATATGATGATAGGGCAGGACTTCTTTAAAATTCATCCACAGAATGCGGGCCTCACTAGCAAAAGCAACATTTATTACCCATCCTAATTGCTTAAACAGTAGTTAAGAATCAGCCACATTGTTGTAGGTGAGGAGTCAAATGCAGGCCAGATCAGGTAAGGAGGGCAAACTGCCTTCCCTAAAGGATATTAATGACAATTAATAGCATTTTCATGGCCACAAATCGGCTAGCTTTTAATTCTTGATTTTTAAAATTCAAATTCCACCATCTGCCATGAAGGAATTCAAACTCATGACCTCAGAACAATAGCCTGGAGTTCTGAATTAGTAGCTCAGTGACATTATCACTATCTCCCCTCAACATGGCATCAAGGTAATTTTATCAGCCATGATCTAGAATAGCAGAGTAGGCTGGAGGGGCTGAATAGCCTAATTGTGCTCTTATAGTCCAATGCCTTATTGAACGCCTTCTGAAATAATCGCCTGGTTTCTCTTCATTCATCCAGCAATATCATCCTCAAATAACTCAAATATATCCATCAAGCATGAATTACCATTTAAAAACTGACAGCCGGAATCTGTTCTTATGATTCTCTCAACATCCTATTACCACGGCCTCTAGAATGGATGCAAATTCCTAAACACTCATGTCAGGTTGTAGTTTGTCCTGCCCAACTTCCTTTCTCTGCACTGAGAATCCAAGTACAATCAGTCCATCCACTAACTGAACCTGAGGATGTATGTCGTCAGGTCTTGGGGATTGATCAGCTTTTAGCCTCAGTCTTTTCTTCAGGGTGTTTTCTTTAAAATATTATTCCTGGAAGTTCCACACTGTGACTGTAAAAACATGCCCAGAGTAACAGGAAAAATATACC